CCATCCTACTCTCTTCATCCCCCCCCCTTCCTACTCTTTTCATTCCCTTCCCAACCCCATCCCACTCTTTTCCTTTCTGCACAACATTCAAACATATATAGAATTGCAAGAATGGGGTTTTCATTGCACAATCCTATTCCACCCCTAGGCAGACCGGGACATAATTCTTCATTTGTCATGATTTCAATCCTATAAAAACAATTTAATTTTTCTGCATCTGCTTCACTTTCAGTTTTAACAGGAACTGAGCATTTGCCTCAAAGTCTAGCTTTTCAGTTCCTAACTTCCTATAACTCTGTAACCTCTGTAACCTTTGATATTTCAAATATTAAAGATTGAAATAAATTTCAAAGGCCTACACAACATCAGGTGATTTAACTCCGATCATCTTGCAATATATTTGAAATTCTAATTTTATATGTATTTGGGAGAGGAACTCAAAACATTTCCCATGAAGATTCTGTTTGCCCGCCCTCCCCCCCTCCTTCATGATGTTTTCCCGGGGGGGGGGGTCTTCATTTGTCCAAGGGGCCACTGACCCCTAAAAATGTGTCAAATGTAGATTTTTAATTATTTTTGTTCCTGTGTATTTGAACCCTGATATTAATTATAATTATGTGGTTTTTATTGGATTTCTATTATGTCATTTATTGAGATTCCTTACGAAGTTACGTGACATGAGTATACATGTTGACAACACACACTCTTATAATAAAGAGCTAAAATAACTACAAAAATGTTAGCTTAAAATATCGAATTATTGATGATTTTGTTGACCCCCTATTTAAGCCAAAATATTTTCCGATTTAGCTGAAATTTTAATGATTTTTTCTATCTAGGAAATGTTAATACTGAGTATGTGGCCTGGAATTTCTATCTGAAGCTGTCGAATACTGTTTAGCTGTTACAAGTACAGCTGCTGTCATGCTTGACTGTTGGAAATATGTTAAGATAAATGAAGAGTTAAGATTCAGTTAACTAATTTCCAGATGCATCTCTAGTGTTCTGACAGTACCTGTTCCTACCTCACCTGTGTCAAGTGAATCAGGTTGACCCGACCGGCCCGGACCTAGTGGTTCCCAATCATGCAGAACCAGCTGCCTTGTTCCTCACCTTACACTGGGCCCCACTTTGTGACATCACAGCGCAGCAAATTCTGAATTTACAAGATTTCCCGGATTTTTTAACAAATTTCCCCCGCATTTCTCCCCGCCCGCTACTGATTTTTATCAGTTATGAAACTGATCTATGTTTTGTTAATGGCAACTCTGCCCAGCGTGCTACCTACCAAGCAACATGCTAGACGCAGCACAGACATGCCCACTCCGCCTGTCTGGGCGGAGACATTGAAAACCCAGGTTTCAGAATCCTATCAAAAGAGGGTGGAGCTCTCCTGCCAGGTTCAGGGGAACCCGAAACCGGAAGTCATCTGGCTCAAGGAAAGATACTACATCCGGTTCAATAAAACCCACATGTGGGAGTAAGAACATAAAGCCCATATTTGTAGGGTTTATGAGGGGGGGGGGGGTGTAAATTAATTCAAGATTTTTAAAATTAAAAGTTTTTTCTTAAAACTATTTTTTCAATATAAAAATCATTATGTTGTAACTTTAGGAGGGACTGCGAGTTCAAGAAGGAGAACAATTAAAGGTATTTCACTATTTTATTTCTTCTGTAAACAATATTTCCATTCATTCTTTCCTGTTGTTCACCTATAGGTTATTTTCCTTGGTGCGTTTTATGCTGATTTTATAGTTAAATCATAAAACTTTATATAGTTCTGACAATAAGAAGTCAGAATTTGACAGAATAAAGTCTTTCCGCGGAACGTTATGATTTTGCAACAAAAATCCGTACAGTCGTCTTTGAAGTCCCTTAGTTTGTGGGTAACCTTGGAGATTTGTAAGAAGGTTTTTTTTAGAAAAATAAACCTGTTAAAGCAAAGTTTCAGATACCCTTTGATTGGAATGTGAATACGTTTTTACATCACATATTATTATCCTTTTATTCTTGCAATCCCTTCCCTCGGCTCTCTGTACACGTTGTATCCCATGGATATTGAATAAATGTGTAGAAATATTTCAAGAATGTCACCTATTTGCTAGTATCCATTCTTTTACATCAGTATTTTTATATACCTCGACATGATTCAATAGTTGATGATAACAATTCTTCTCAATATTTTAGAACCAAAAATTTAATTGGTGGAAATAAATAGCTTAATAAGCAGCTTGGTTATCCATTGAAAAGGCTTAATGAATTGGTTACTAACGGGCTAACTAGCTGACTAGCTGAATAGATGTATAAATGACTAGCTGAATAGATGGCTACCTGATTAACTAGCTGAATAGATGTATAAATGGACACCTGACTAACTAGCTGCCTAGATGACTAGCTGAATAGATGGCTACCTGACTAACTAGCTGCCTAGATGACTAGCTGAATAGATGGCTACCTGATTAACTAGCTGAATAGATGTATAAATGGCTACCTGACTAACTAGCTGCCTAGATGACTAGATGAATAAATGACTACCTGACTACTGGGCAAAAGACTGATTGGTCATTGACTAGCTGACTTACTTACTAGTCCAAGTCTGCTTGTTTATATAAACAGTGTAGATTGTTGATTAGTTTTAGCTTAATCATTACATTTATTTCTTTTCTATATACGGGAAGCTTCATTCATGCATTCATTTTCTTTACAGTTAGCTTCATCCTTAAATTCACCTATTTTCTATATGCGGGAATCTTCATTCATGCATTCATTTTCTCTACGGAAAGCTTTAATACATTCATTCATTATTCTAAATTGGTAGTTACATTCATTAATTCATTCATTCATTATTCTAAATTGGTAGCTACATTCAATTCATTCATTATTCTAAATCGGTAGCTACATTCAGTCATTATTGTAATTAGTAGCTACATTCATTGATTCTTTTTCTAAATTGGTAATTTATTTATTCATTCATCCTTTATTCTAAATTGGTAGCTACATTCATTCATTCATCCTTTATCCTTAATTGGTAGCTACATTCATTCATTATCCTTAATTGGTAGCTACATTTATAAATCCTTTTTCTGTGTAGTGTATTTTCATTTCATTTATTTATTCCATACATGTATCTAAGCATCTTGTTTTTAATAATTTATATTGCGTTATTCATAATAAAACACTTCGTCTTATGTATTAAGAAGGGAAAATGAATGAAATCTACAAAATACATGTAAAAGGAACGGAAAAACAGGCTTGTGGTGTCCAAGGAAGAAGGGTGCTTACAATTATAATTTTGAAATTGTATATAAAATATTTTTAAGTTTATTGTTGAATTAAAATTATATTTAATTATTCTGAACATGATCATGAATCTTATAGCTTACCCACATATACATAATAACACACATATTACATACACCTAATTCTAAATGTAAATAAATACAAGGATAAAAGGAGAGCTTTCTTAGAAATCTTGAAATTTGAAGATTTTATGCAATTCTGTACTACATCATATCTTAATATACAGTGGGACCCATAAAACTGTGGAATATGTAAATGAAATGTATACAATTGTGTACTAATCTTATCTTAATATACAGTGGGACCCATTAAACTGTGGAATATGTAAATGAAATGTATACAATTGTGTACTAATCTTATCTTAATATACAGCGTGAACCATAAAACTGTGGAATGTATAAATGAAATGTATGCAATTGTGATGTTGTACTAAATGGTTTTACTAGAAACTTAAAAATCAACATATTAATTAAATGGGTCTGTGAATACACTGCGCAATTACTGTGCTGAATGTTGATTATTTAAAATCATAACTTGAGTTTCTACCTATTTTACAGATTAAAATCATAACTTGAGTTTCTACCTATTTTACAGATTAAAATCATAACTTGAGTTTACCTATTTCACAGATTTATAAGTTCCTCTTTATAATAAGGCAAAAGTCAATGTAGTTTTATTTTTCAATTTGGGCTCGTCACTGAGCTTTGCGAATTGTACGGAGCATTCTTACTGTATTCTGTCTACTTCTATACTAAAAAATGTATTCATTCTACTTCTATACCAAAAAATGTATTCTACCTACTTCTATACTAAAAAATGTATTCTACCTACTTCTATATCTAAAAATGTATTTTACCTACTTCTATATCTAAAAAATGTATTCTACCTACTTCTAAAATGTATTTTACCTACTTCTATACCAAAAAATACTTCTATACTAAAACATGTATTCTGTCTACTTCTATTCTAAAAAACTGCATTCTGTTTACTTCTATGCAAAAATAAATAAAAATATTCTGTTTGTACTCTTATAGCTTCGTCCCAAACTGTATCAGTCCAGGCACAAACCGTTCGCTATCTAAGTCAACCATCACACAACCCACTTTGCTCTAAATATAAGTTTCCCCAATACCCCCCCCCCTCTCATGCCCCCTCTGGCACTAATGCAGTGCTCTAAATTCAGAAAAGTTTACAACGCGCCTGTCAATCACAGCGGGTATAAAGTAGAGCTGTAGAAAGGATGAGGATAGTTTAAAAGGATTGTTAGCAACATTTTTGGGAACTCGAACACAAATCTATCTTACTAATCAAAGATGTTCCTGAATGAGCAAAACTGCTAGCAAGAACTGACATCAAGTTTTTGCTTCATAAAAGTACTAAACTCTGTTTGAAATGAAATTTAATTCATTTTAAAGATGTTAACTTTTTACTTTTTATAGATAGGATTATTTTTTAATAGCTGTTTATTTTTTGATAGCTGTGTATTTACAGCTGACTATATCTAGGTAATATTATAAGTAGGTAAATAGCTGTGTATTTCCAGCTGACTATATCTAGTTAATATTATAAGTAGCTAAATAGCTGTGTATTTCCAGCTGACTATATCTGTTTAATAATTTAAGTAGCTAAATAGCTGTGTATTTCCAGCTGACTATATCTGTTTAATATTATAAGTAGCTAAATAGCTGTGTATTTACAGCTGACTATATCTGTTTAATATTATAAGTAGCTAAATAGCTGTGTATTTCCAGCTGACTATATAGTTTACTAAAAGTTCACCGGCTCATGAAGTAGGCTGGGCGGGCGGCTGGCAGAAAGGAATTATAATATTTCACTTTACGACCTCAGAACTCATAAAAATGTCTTCAAAACATTCTTAAATGTTCAGATAAAGTTTATTTTCTCATCAATTTTATTGTTTTACACGCCAATGTTTGACCAAATGTAGAAAGGAAACTGAATTATAATATTTTTATATTGTTGTTTAATTAAAAATCTAAGCATTTTTTTTGTCTAATTAATTAAATGAAACATTATTCGCATAATTCATTATGCCTAAAACAGCAAAACAATTAATTTTCAGATTTAACTTTATATTTAAAGAGTAGAGGGGTGGCAAGTGCAGACACTAACAATTTGCAGAGTACTTTATAAACTTAGGAAATTATTTTGTGAATATTAAAGCAAACCTTTAAGATTTATTAAATTACCTCTATAGGTTAAACATTTCTGATATCTATATATATATATGTGTATATATATATAATAGAAACAGGATTATCCGCATTGCACGAGACTTCAAAACGACATATAAATATTTTTTTTAGTATTCTATATAAGTATAACTGGATTCGATGCAGCTAAGCATTAATTTTGCTATTCTACTTCACAATAATTAAATTAGCATTAAAGCCTCATATTATGTAACACTGTATGAAATCTGTAGAATATCTAAGTATCGAAGAGCATTCTTAGAATTTATATTACAGGGAAGGGAAAGGGGGGATGTGTATAGAATTTCATACTTTCGGCAGTAAAATTATAATTTTTGCATAACATTTGGATTCTAGGGGTAGGAGCAGAGGGGAGAGAAAGTAGAGGGAAAGAACATAAACGCTTAATCCTTTTCCTTCTTGCAAATCTTTGTTTATTAAATGCACCTTTAGTAACATTTTGATTAGATAATTTGAACATATTTATGCATGTTTTAACTTTTCTATTTTTTAGATTCGTAATGGCGGACAGACCCTTGTAATAAAACAGCTGACTAAAAAGATGGCGGGCATGTACACGTGCAAAGCATCCAATGGGTAATTAGGCTTTTAAATGATTACTAATTTGTACAAGCATCGTAAAAACATAAGCGTTTTACTTTCCATTCATGTAGAAACTATTCAGAAATAACCAAAAGTTTTAATATTCAATATTTTGTACTTTACATTTAAACTTTGTTTTAATATTAATGAAAAAGATGAAAAAGACAAATTTAAAAATTGGTTTATTCCATTTGATGTGAAAAATATTGTTCTTCAATACAGATGTTCTTGACTTCTTTAGGGTCGGAATAAAAAGTAATTTTCGTCAAAAAAGTTGTAGCATTTTGCAAGCCTTTCAAATATATCCGTAAATATCCAATCCAATGTTCAAATTAGTAACACAGATTTGCTATAAGGTTATGAAAAAAAGATCAAATGATCAAATGTGTGTTCCTAGTTTAAAAATTAGTGTATTGCCGCCATTGAAATTAGAGAACAATCCCTGAAAGGGAGTGTTCGCGAAAAATGAAAGGGGGTATAGGCTTAATGCGATAAAAAGCGCTTTTGATCGCTATCTGTTGTGTCTATAAGGAGAAAATTGTTAAAGACGTCTCATACCAAATAACTTAGCGCCCATACAAATTGAGAAAATTGCATTATACGACTTAGACCGTAAAAAAAATCATTTAATTTCAAACAAATCATTCAGATATTACAACCTATAGTCATCGATTATCTTTCGCCACATTTGTATATAGTTTATATTTTATAATATTTTATTTTTTTTAGAAAACGTTTTAACTAATTTCGAAAAATGTGAGTGGTCCGCGGCATTCTTAGATAGTTGCGCAAGCCGCAAGAGAAATAATCAAATTCAAAACAAATTAGTTAAAAAATATTATAAAATATAAACTTTATACAAATGTGGCGAAAGATAATTGATGACTATAGGTTGTAATATCTGAATGATTTGTTTGAAATAAAATGATTTTTTTTACGGTCTAACTCGTATAATGCAATTTTCTCAATTTGTATGGGCGCTAAGTTATTCGGTATGAGACGTCTTTAACAAGTTTCTCCTTATAGACGCAAGATTAGTAGCGATCAAAAGCGCTTTTTTATCGCATTAAGCCTATACCCCTTTCATTTTTCGCGAACACTCCCTTTAAAGCTGAGACGATTTTATAAAGTAAACCTGTAAAGGTTGGATTAATACTAGAAGAGGAAGTTATGTAGTAAGGGCGGGATTAGAATGCGATGAAAATAGTTTTGTTGTCTCTCTTATCTTGAAGAAAACGAGATTTTAATTTCTTCGTTCTTGGGCTGTTACCAGAGGCGTACACAGGGTGAGCTAAGGGGGCTCAGCCCCCTTCTGGATCGGTAAAATACATAGTTTCCAAGGGGTTGTCAGGCCCAAACGGGGGCTGACTGTTGTACCCTCCATGAAAAATAGAAAATAGAATTCCTGTGTAAACAAAGTTATGGCCCCCTTAATTTGATGTTTTATTAAGAGACAACAAGTTGGTTTCTGGAATAATATTTCTAATGGAATGACCTTTTTGATCCAAAATCAACAAATTTAATTTTTACATTTAAGTTTTTTAATGTTTTATATTAGCACTTAGCAGATAAATAATAAATATATTCTTTTTTATTAAAAATTCTACGTATAAAACACATAAATATGATTAATCCATTATAATTTACAAATTGTTAAATTTTCAATGAGTTTTAAAACTACTTTTTTGTGAAAGGTTGATTAAATTAGTCTTTTTTTAATAGAAATAAATCAAATATTTATATATATATAAATATATCATAAGCACTAATTAGATATAAAATCCATCTATATATACACTACAGAGTGGGCTTACCGGGGGGGGGGGGGGTCGAGGGGTAATAGTCTTCCTAGAAAATATTGTAAGGCTACCCTGTAAATATATTGTCTTTATGTTAATATATCTGTCTACAAAATTCGTCTATGTATGTAAATATGTAGATATGTAAGGGTGTACGTATATATCTAGGTATGGTAGTATACAGCATGATATCCTGGTCCAGGGTGTATGTATGTGTATGTTGTGTATGTATATATATATCTAGGTATGGTAGTATACAGCATGATATCCTGGTCGAGGGTGAGCAGCATACTATCTACTCTCCGAAGATCCTGGAGAAACCAAAGAATCAAACCCTGGTGGAAGGAATGGATGCTTACTTCTCCTGCAGGTAGATATATTACATTATATTAAAGGGGCTGTGTTTCATTTTTTTTCAAGTGACCCTCCATTTAAAGAGGTTTTTAATCCCTATATCTTTGCAAACCGATGTCGTAGACCTTTGAGCTTTCAAACTATGAATTCTGTAACATTAATTAATGTAAGCTTGAAATATATAAGGTTTACACCACAAGGTTGAAAAGATATAAGGATTAAAGTATTTGAGTTTACGGCAAAGACTCAATTTCTTTGTAAGATATCGTCGTTTCTCAAGCTTGAATAGTATTTAAATCTTGTTTTAGTTGAATAAATCCAAAAAAACATTTTTACAATGACCCCAATAATGAACAAAAAAACCATTTTGATAATATGCTTCTCAGTTTATAATTTTCTAAATGAAGTTTATCTTAGTCAAAACACAATAATTTCTAATCTTGATTTCTTTGTGTGATGACATAGAAGAAATCACATAATAAATTCTTTTAATTAGTTGTAGTTAAAAATATCAAAGGTTCCCACTTTCAGATTGCTGGGATATATATTTAATTGTTAATGTTTATAAGAACCTAAAAAACATCTATATTTGTTAGGTTCGACTATGGTTCTCTGGGTGCAAAGATATATTTATTTGTTAATGTTTATTAGAACTAAAAAAACATCTATATTTATTAGGTTCGACTATGGTTCTCTGGGTGCAAAGATATATATTTAATTGTTAATGTTTTTTAGAACTAAAAAAAAACATCTATATTTGTTAGGTTCGACTATGGTTCTCTGGGTGCAAGTATTTACTGGTTTCGTGCTGATGAAAACTATGATCCAGGGAATGCGACAAACTTCATCCTTGTCGCCAATAATGCCGGAGACGAGCTTATAATCAAGTAAGCTACCCATACCAATCAAAAATATTATTTTGACATAAATTCTTTTTAGTGGTTCATTTTTTCAAATATTTTAAGAAAATGTTTTCAAACATAAATTGATGCATGCGTTCAATAATAAAGTCTTCCAGTCCTAGTGTTGCATTTTAAGTTTTACGACCTAAAATTACATTTTTTTTAGATTGCAATTTAAATCTGATATGTTTGCATTACACGGATTGACTCTGATTTCAAGTCATTTTTTTTTGCAAAAAAAGTATTTTCTTTTTTTGGGAAGTCATGAATGGATTGAGTGGGTTTCCCAAGTGTATTGCTTGTTTAAGCAGCTGAGAGTAAAGGCCTGTTTTATTTCAGAAACGTAAGCAAAGCCCTATCTGGATACTACTTCTGTGTTGCCAGAAATATCCAGGGAGAAGCAATTGGTCAGGCCAAACTGACCGTACTTCATAACTTCGAGGCAGTGCTTGAGTCCCCGAAGAACATATCTGGGGTGGTGGGTAGCACGGCAGTGTTCCATTGTATAACCCCCCTGGAGATTCATCCTTTCATCCACTGGGTTCGTATTCATGAGGAGACAATGATTATTGAAGTATTGGCAAACCATACTGAAGTCCTAACCCTGGAGAATGTTACAAAAGACGACGCTGGACCCTACTCTTGTGTTATTGGGACAGAGTCAGATAATAGTTTCTTTGAGACAGCTTACCTCACTGTAACGGATGAAGTTCCATATCCTCCTATACCTCAAGGACATCCTGTTCATACCAAGCTGGTTGTTATTGTGGTGTGTGTCTCCTTCATGGCTCTACTGTTCCTCATCATTGTCCTTATCACCTACAGGAAGATGAGACGGGAGAAGTTGAAAAAACTTCAAGCAATTCAGAATGCCCAGGCCATCACTGCCTGGACCAAGAAGATTATTATTGAGAGGAACAACTTGTCCCAGCCCGGTGGTACAGTCATTTCTCCGGTAGTAAGGATTGAACGGCAACCATCGTCTCAGCGCCTGAGAACTGGTTCTGAGAATACAACTCTAACCACTGTATCAGAATATGAGCTTCCACTTGATCCTGACTGGGAGTTCCCCAGGGAGCATCTGAGCCTAGGCCAGACCCTGGGAGAGGGAGCGTTTGGTAAGGTTGTACAAGCAAACGCTTTGGGGCTCAGGCGTCCAGGAGAATCTGCTATTGTAGCGGTAAAAATGCTGAAAGAAGGTCACACTGATCCTGAAATGATTGATCTTGTCTCTGAGATGGATATGATGAAGGTAATTGGGAGACATATCAATATAATCAATCTTCTGGGTGTGTGTACCCAGGACGGTCCTCTCTACGTCATTGTAGAGTATGCTGATCATGGAAATTTGAGAGACTTTCTACGAAAACATCGTCCTACGTCTGGTTACGAAAGACCTAATGGAGAAAAACCCCCATTGTCCGAAAAGCAACTGATAAGCTTTGCCAGACAAATAGCACGTGGTATGGAGTACTTGGGTTCTAAAAAGTGCATTCACAGGGACCTAGCAGCTCGTAATGTTCTTGTTTCTGACGGACTTATTCTAAAGATCGCTGACTTTGGTTTGGCGCGAGACATTCATTCAAATGACTACTACCGGAAGCTTGGAGACGGCCGACTTCCTGTCAAGTGGATGGCTCCGGAGGCCCTTTTCCACCGGAAGTATACAATTCAATCCGATGTTTGGAGTTTTGGAATTCTGTTGTGGGAAATGATGACCTTAGGTGGGACTCCATATCCTTCTGTACCAAGTATAGAGAAGCTGTTTCAACTACTCCGGGAAGGTCATAGGTAAAATTCTCTTTTATTTACTTATTTTGTGCCTCACGAATATTTTTTTCTCTATAAATAAATTTTTTTAATATATTTTTCCTGTTGGAACATTTTGAAATTTTGTCTGAGAAAGTCCTTGAAATATTAATTTTACTCTATTCATGTATTCATTTTCAAGTTTTTATTTCAGAAATTTAATCAAGCATCTCTCCCTCCCCCCTTGGCCGTATGGGATCACTATTCATTAGATCATGTGTATAGAACCTTCCCACCCACACCCCTATTCCTTTACCATCGAACTTCTAAACTTACCCTTTTTACACTCCCCCCCCCTTTGCTACTACGTGTTCTTGTCTAAATCATGAATATTTCCCTAGCTCGGTCATACATAGAATACCCCCCCCCCCCTACCCTCTCTCTCCACCTGCTGAAGATATTAGTAACTTTTCTTTTTAATTCCCCCCACCCATCCCCTCCCCTCTTTCTCTTTCTACGTACTTCAAATATTCTTAAAATACTAGGTTTATGAGTTACTTTATCTGTAATTAGTCAGCTATTCAGGAATAAGAATGTTTATCAGCAATTAGTATCAGAACTAACTCTAAGAACACATTTATTGAAAAGCTGTGTTTTAAAATTTAAAGTTCAATTTTCAATTTAATATAAAACGCTTAATGAAACCTTTTTTAAATCAGATATCGGAACTTTAGTGTGGATGTTATTAATCTTGATGCTCGATCAATGCTTGATCAATGCTTGATCAATGCTTGATTCCACAATTAAAGTTGTCTATGCACGGAATAACCATCACGGGATATAGAAGAGAAATCAAATGAATCCGTAGATCAAAGCTTGATCCATGCAAAGATTCTCAAAACAAAAGATCTACTTAGAGTTTTACTCAAATTAAGATTTTAAATACTTGTATCCTACAAATATCTAATATCCATGTTCTGATGAAAAATGTTTAGGATGGAAAAGCCCCCTCAGTGTTCCATGGATGTATACTTTCTAATGAGGGACTGCTGGCACTTTTATCCTAACCAACGGCCTACCTTTACTCAGCTGGTGAGCACTCTTAGAATTGTATTTTTCATGCAATGAAACTGAGTTTTTGCAACTTTTTTAATCTCTATATCTTTGCAACCTGATGATGTAAACCTTTGGTATTTCAAACTTAGATATTTCATAGTTTAAAATATCATAGGTCTACAACATTGGGTTGCAAAATATTGGGGCGAGTTAATCAGAGTTTGTGTCAAAAACTCAATTCTTTTTTTGCTATTTTTTTTATTTATTTTGTTATATTTAGGTGTTTCCTTTCTTTTTTGCTATTTTTTAAAATTTACTTTGTTAAAGCTTAATGTATCTACTTGGTTTATTCTTGTGCTATCATATTCTTTTTTGCTACTGACCTATATTTAACTACATTATGTGGCCTTTTTTATACAAACCACAAGTAAATTTTACTAGGCTTTTAGGGCGCTATGCGTCCATCTTCTATTTCAATTGTGAACATTTTCTTTTTGTATACATTGTAAAACGAAAACGAAAAAGTTTGCGGATTTTCTTAAAAATCGTGGATTTTGAAAATTTATTGGAAATCGAATTTTGTTGGAGGCAAATTTTTGTAATTTTGGTCATTCATAAACCTTCCCTGGGTCACGTGATGTCCCACACAAAATTTGGGCCAGATCGGTTCAGTCGTTTTAACGTTTATTGGATAAAACAAACAGAAAAACAAACAGAAAAGCAAAGTAAATATAGAGAAGTAAAGTAAAGTTTTAGAACCTGACTCAATGATTTAATTATTCTAGGTAAACACTCTGGACGAACTAATTACAGGTTCATGTGAAGACGAGTATTTAGATCTTGGTTTACCACCACTAGACACCCCACCTTCCTCAGGTAGACATAGACATAGACATAGACATAGACATAGACAGAGACATAGACATAGACATAGACATAGACATAGACATAGACATAGACATAGACATAGACATAGACATAGACATAGACATAGACATAGACATAGACATAGACATAGACATAGACATAGACATAGACATAGACATAGACATAGAATAAATGAATGAATGAATGAAATTAAATATAATACAGATGATGATTGTGGAATAGAGGAGAGCGCAGCTAAATTCTTCAACAATCAAAACAAACCTCTTCAGTTTCACAATCATCAGGTAAAATGAAATTGCATGGTTATAGAAAAATTTAATTTTGAAATGGAAAATTAAATTGTATCATGAAAAAATTAAATTGACTTTTGGAAAGATTAAATTGTATTGTGAAAATCGTATTATGGAAAATTGGAATTTTATTATGGAAAGATGAAATCGTATTATGAAAAATGTAATTGTATTAGGAAAAAATGTAATTGTATTAGGAAAAAATGTAATTAGATTATGGAAAGATGAAATCGTATTACGAAAAATGTAATTGTATAATGGAATAATGTAATTGTATTATGGAAAAATGTAATTGTATGTAATGTGAATGTTTTATTATAGTATGACCAGGGGTCAAACTGGTCGCCAGATCAAGGGTTTGGGTCAGCTTCTGGTTCTGGATTCTGTCCATCAGAAGGAGTAGTTGATAACTTCAAGGATTCACAGGTAACAGTCCCTTTAAATCCGGAGATAAAATCAGGGAACAGTTCCTTTAAATCCGGAGATAAAATCAGGGAACAGTTCCTTTAAATCCGGAGATAAAATCAGGGAACAGTTCCTTTAAATCCGGGACAAAATCAGGGAATAGTTCCTTTAAATCCGGGATAAAATCAGGGAACAGTTCCTTTAAATCCGGAGATAAAATCCTGGATAAGATCCTGGAAGATGAAAGAAGTTGCATGCACTATATCTCCATTCATAATGTGTATTCGGGAAAAGTTAAGGAATAATTTCTTTATGGCTTAGATACACTGCAAACTATGTGCACGCTTTTAAGCAAAAATCAAGCAGTATTTTACCAATTACTCCTTTTAAACTTCAGTTAAAACAAGTTAGTTACATTATTAAGTGTTTATTCCTGCCTAGGGCTACAAAAAACTAGTGAGTAGAGAGGTGGTGACGTTAAACCAAAGGCCAAGGCGTTAAAGTCGAGGCTGTCTAAAAATTTGATGACTAAACCTTCAGAGTTATCTAGATTTCAGTGGTTATACTAAATTTCTTTATTGAAGACTTTTTACTTCCATTTAACTAAACTTAGAGTAAACTTCAAGACTTCCCTTTCAATAAAATTGTCATTCCTAAATGTCTAGAGATTGTATTTTTCCTTAAAACCCCGTTTAAGAAAGGGAAAAGGAAGGATAGGATGAAAAATATAAATATTTAAATTAATCTTAAATAGAATTAGGAAATGAGGGGTAAATGGATAGTAAATGAGGGGTAAATGGATAGTAAATGAGGCGTAAATGGATATTAAATGAGGGGTAAATGGATAGTAAATGAGTAAATGAGGGGTAAATGGATAGTAAATGAGGGGTAAATGGATAGTAAATTGTTTAGAAAATTCAATGTAATTCGCTCTTACTCCTATTTTATTTTAGGATTTCCAAATAAACTATTCCACTCTGGACCCAGGCCGAAGTACTCCCACCTATATGAACCAAGACTCCACACTTCCTTTCATAAACAACTCCCTCCGTCGTATATACTCCCACCAGTATGAGAACCAACCTGAAGACTCCCGAAGAGGAGTACTAGGAGGAAGGGGAGGGGAGGGAGTAGGACAAGGAGTACAGTATACACAGCAGTCCAGCTTACCAGAACAGTTACATCCGCCAACACTAGATGTCAGGTTAGTCGGGGGTTATTTTGCTTTATCTTGGAAGCTTTCTATACATTCATTCTTAACAATAATGTCTTTATTTTCGAAACATCTTTTTTTATGAAAAATGGTATGCCTATTATCTATTTTTAATAATTTCCTTTTTAAATTACAGATATACGACGCAAATAAGTTTGCCCGAAGGTCTGTTGTCCACATCTACCAACCCTTGTCAAACATACTGCTCGAAACAAACTGTTTTCTCACAACCCCAAACGTTTGCCTCTCAAGTTCAAACGTTGGTCCCCCAGCCAAAAACGCTCCCATCCCACCCACAAACGTTTGTCCCTCAGCAACAAACGTTTTCATCCCAGCAGCAAACTTGTGTCCCTCAGCAACAAACGTTTTCATCCCAGCAACAAACCTTTGCCTCCCAACCACAAACGTTCATGACTCATCAACCAATCCGTACATCCCAACACCAGACGATAAACTACTCGTCCAATCCCCAAAACATTAATCAACCTCAACCAACCACCTTTTCCCAACCTCAAAACTTCCTCCCGCATTCCCAACTTTATACTTCCCAATCTCAGGAGTTCTCCTTCCCTCCCAACCCTAGACTAACAGACTCATCCCAATCCAATCCTTTGGATCAAGTTCATTCCTCTCCTCACTCTCCACCCCTTCCTAATCCTCCTTCCCCTAGTCTACCCTGTCCTCCTTCTCCTAATATTCCCTACCCTCCCTCCCCTTCTCTTCTACTCTACAATGATAAGAAAACAATGAACCAATATGTCTCCACTCCTACATTGGCAAAGGCCATGCCGGTATCAGGTCAGACCTTTTCGGAATTGCCTCCAACATTCTCTGACTTCCAGCATCCTGGAATTGACCTCCAGCGACCTCAGTGTTCTCGCTCCAACTCTACAGCTGGGTCTGGTGTCAACTATACCTCTGTAAACTCTGATCAACTGTTAAGGTTAAATTGCGACAGTTTTGGTCAAATATTGTCCGAAGGATCCTACGCTACTTTACGTCGCGCTCCAGTCGCGCGGATACCAAGCATCCGGCGCGATACTGCCGTGTCCCAGTGCACAGAGGATCTTGATATCAACGATTACTCTGACAGATACTCCGGGCACATTAAAACCAGTCAGTTGTAAGATAATCCCCGAACCAACCAGAGGCGGCCATTTTGAATTTAATGTTTCAAAAACAATCTAAAAGGTGATTACTCGAAACATGTGACGACACAAAATACAAGCTGTCGGTACTTTCCTAAATATACTTCTCTTTAAAGATCAGATAAAAGAAAAAAACAGATATAAGACATTTTAAACATTTAATAAATCTGTTCTTGTCTAATCATAATATGACTTGTTTTAGAAAAAGATTAGAACTGATCGAAAGTAAAATCTAAATGTTTAGTTTTATACATAAAAGTAGAGTTTGTTCTAGTTGAACTGAAAATGCTTACTTGCCTGTAAAGCCTGTATGTTTCAGTCAGGCTTTCTCAACAAAACTTAGGCTGCTCTAGACCTGCTGCCTTTAAACATTCATCATTCATTTATCAGATAAAAACACGGTAATAAGCAGATTAAGCATGCTTGTAAAAGACAAAAGTATTATGTATATAAATAATCATTTTTAATACTCACACATGTAATTTAAAAATATTATAAATCATTATAAATGTCATAATTGTCAAATCTGAGGCCGAAATGCGTCAGTTAAAATCAGTAAGTTTCTTATTCATATACTTGGCCAATGTAATCATTAAATGTTAAATGTTTATAAAAAAGGAAATATCTACATATATATGTATGTAAAAAAATGTTTGTAATACAAAATGGCTATTTATTTGAAAATATATCTTACTGTTTGTGTCTAATAAGATATTTTTACAGAATGAGGATATAGATTTAAAGTAAGGAAGATTAAGACAGAATTAGAAGTCCCGAGGCCGAATTTAAAGAATTTGATCCACGGTTTAAATTTAAGCCGCAGCTCAAATATGGTTGGTTCCATTCAAAATTATATTCAATTTTTCAAGATTTAAGCCGGCCCTCAATTAAACCCGGTTTTGGGGGATTTGAGAAGCGGCTCAAATTCATTAAATTCGAAAACTGGCTTCGTTAAAGGTAAGTTTATGTAACACATAGTTATCTACAAAAGATCAATAGTCGAACGTTTTAGATTTCTGGGACTTTTTTTCCGAAAAAATAAAGTCTTAAAATGCTGGTTGGACTTTCTTACCGAAGTCCTTTCAGTTTGCGGACTTTTTACCTTAAAGAAATCAAGACCTGAAACTTAATAAACATATAAGTTTAAAACTAGAGCAAAATCTGTCTAAATTATTGCTTTTTTATGTTAAAGGAAGAAACGTACAAGTGTACAGCTTCAAGGAACCGTGAGTGTAATTGATTAAGCTTGAAGTCTCATAGTTTTGTATTTCTATAAGATTATTATAATTATAAGTCCTGGAATAATAGAAAATATTGAACGAAAACAAGAGAACGAATTTGGAATCATTTGTGATCTTGAACTGGAACAAAAAAGAGGTAGTTATATAAAATACAAAGACAAGCAATAAAACGGCAATGAAAATGACGCCTTTGTTGTAATGTTCATTGCAGACTGTATAATTAGTACTGTGTAGAGTACAGAATGTATAATTAGTACTGTATAGAGTACAGAATGTATATAATTAGTACTGTATAGATTACATAATGTATAGAGTGCAGAATGTATAATTAGTACTGTATAGAGTAAAGAATGTATAATTAGCACTGTAGAAAGTACAGAATGTATAATTAGTCCTGTTTAGAGCACAGAATTTATAATTAGCACTGTATAGAGTACAGAATGTATAATTAGCACTGCATGGAAGTACAGAATATATAATTAGTAACTGTATAGAATGCAGACTGTATAATTTTTACTGTATAGAGTGCAGAATGTATAATTAGCACTGTATAGAGTGCAGAATGTATAATTTTTACTATATTGAGTACAGAATGTATAATCATGTACTGTATTGTTCACAGAATTGTATAATTAGTACTGTGTAGAGTGCAGAATGTATAATTAGTACTGTATAGAGTACAGAATTTATAATTAGTACTGTATTAAGTACAGAATGTATAATTAGCACTGCTGTATAGATTACAGAATGTATAATTAGTGCTGTATAGATTACAGAATGTATAATTAGTGCTGTATTGAATACAGAATGTATAATTAGTACTGTATAGATTACAGAATGTATAATTAGTACTGTATAGAGTGCAGACTTATATGTATAATTAGCACTGTAGAGAATACAGAATATATAATCAGTACAAAATGTACAATTAGCACTGTATAAAGTACCGAATGTATAATCAGTACTGTATAGATTACAGAATGTATAAAGTAAAGAATGCATAATTAGCACTTTATAGATTGCAGACTGTATAATTACTCAGTTAATTAGTACTGTGTAGAGTAAAGAATGTATAACTAGCACTGTGTAGAGTGCAGAATGTTTAATTAGTACTGTAAAGAGTACAGAATGTATAATTAGCACTGTAAAGAATACAGAATATATAATTATTACTGTATAGAATGCAGACTGTATAATTTTTACCGTGTACAGTGTCCAGAATGTATGATTAGCACTGTATAGAGAACCGAATGTAAAATCAGTGCTCCAGAAGTGTTGCTTATCAAGTGAAAAGGGTCTGTGTATGTACACTAAGCAAAATTTCTGTGTTAACTGTTTATAATTATATACAACTTCTTTACCAAAGGTAGAAATAACTAAGTAAAAATTTTAATTTCACGAAAACGTTTTTCGGTACATTTTCATTGTCTTTTGAGATAAAAATGCGCAGATATTTTCATGGAACCTGCTCAGAGTAGTTAAAAGTAATTAAAATCCCGCTGCATGTTGGGGGAATTCTGAGTCGGTAATTAAGGTCAGTCGTCTTCCTATTCCATAGTTTTATGAGTCTCACTGTAACTGTAGAGTAAAGTTCTTACAATTAGTACTGCATATATTAGAGCATGTAAAGTGCACAATTAAGTAAAGCACCAATTATTTTCATTTTCGGAAGTTTGGGTTAAAAACTGTTTCGGGGATTTTAAAGGAATTCGTGGAATTTTTTTCCTCCATTACTGGAAAATAAATATCTCTCGACGCACTTTAATTGACAACTCAACATGGAACCTAACAAAATAAATGTTGTATTAGCAATGTTAGCCAGACCAACCTGGCAAAATAAATGTTGTATTAGCAAGGTTAACCAGACCAACCTGGCACAATAAATGTTGTATTAGCAAGGTTAGCGAGACCAACCTGGCAAAATAAATGCTGTATTAGCAATGTTAGCCAGACCAACCTGGCAAAATAAATGTTGTATTAGCTAGGTTAGGCAGACCAACCTGGCAAAATAAATGTTGTATTAGCAAGGTTAGCCAGACCAACCTGGCAAAATAAATGTTGTATTAGCAAGGTTAGCCAGACCAACCTGGCAAAATAAATGTTGTATTATCAAGGTTAGCCAGACCAACCTGGAAGAGAAAGACGACAAAGAATTATTATATTTGAAATATTTAAAGGGTCTAGCTAGAGTCGTAATTTCAAGTGACCCTATATTTATAGAATAACATTTCACTACCCTTTAAGATTTTTATGATTCATGATTCCCCTTTAAAAAAGATTCTCTTTTTTGATGGAAGGTTGAATTGTATCTACAGCACATTTAAAGCGCGTTTTCTATCTAACAAGACGATTTAAAAATACATTTTTTTAATTATTAAAATAAATATTTACAGGCAGGGGGGATTGTGTACATATTTTGCTTTTAATTTGATTATAAGTTTTATTTAATTTATGTTTTAGGAAAACTATTGAAGAACAAAACAAAACACTTTAATTAGAATAAAAACCAAAACAGATTTTTTAAAAACATGATGATTACATTAAACTAAAGTAAACCTGTTGGTGCAAGCCTTTGATACTTCAAACTAGACTATTTGATCTAACAGAATTTATGATTTGAAACAACTACGACATCAGGTTTAAAAGATATGGAGATAAAAAGTTTGAGTTTGTGACTAAGACTCACTTCCTTTTATGTTGGATCGAAATCTTACAAGTTTTGAACTCCTGGCTCTATTCACATGAAAACTGATTTTTTATTTCATTTTCTGAAGCAAAACAAGGTATTTGTTGCGATCATAATTAACTCTATCATCGTTTTGTTTAAATATTTAAAAAATTTTACTTTCATTATTTTTTATTTTTCGTTCCCACTATTTTCATTTTGGTTGATTTTAATGATAAAAATATTTTGAATTCGTATATTTTAATAAACTGCTCCGGCTTCTAAATTAGAAGAGTGCAATATCAACAATCCTTCAACATTCAACACTTCTTGAAATGTTTATTTAGCTTTTTTCTTCTTTTCTGCACTTTTACTGATTTTACATTTCAAACTCTTACACAGAATTTTTAAATTAAAAATTTTATTTCTAAGCATAAATTTAAAATTATAATAAAAACACAGAAAAGAGAAAGTGTGAGAAAAAAATTGTGAAGTATAATAATTTAGGGAAACCAATAGAAACAAACAGGAAGAAGAAAATAAGATGAAAAATGGACAACTCTGGAAGGAAACAAGTGGGAAAGGAGAGATAAGAAGAACAACATAATTACAAATTTGAAATAAAGGAAACAGCAAAGCAGAAACAATACAAAAGCGTAACTGGCAGAAAAATAAACAAAATTACAGAAGTACAGAATCAAAAATCGGTGCTAGTGGAAGGAATAAGAAAGAAAATATGAGGAAAAAATAAACTTTGTATTTATAAAACTGTAGATCATAAAGATATGGATAATTCTGGAAGGGAACAAAAGAAAAGGAAAGGCTAAAAAATAACAATGCCAACACATAATAAAATAGAACAAATCGAGGAAACAGCAAAGAGCAAATACGATACAAAATCGTAACGAAGGAAAAAATCTGAGGAAAAAGGAAGAAATACTAATAAAAATAAATTGAAAAGATAAAGAGGTGTTCAGATTATTTTATTGAACACATCTGGATGTAAGACTAGCTCCCAGCTCTGAAACCCTAGGTAGAAGGAGGAGGGCAGAGAGAAGGCTCTGGGAGTGTGCGACCTGAGACTATGCGGGAGTGTTCAGGGAAAAAATTAAGACATTTCAATTTGATGATGTCGACTGTCGAGAATTAGAATACAAAGGAGGGATAATTGGAATCGAACAGGGAGGAATACGCTCTATTCTCAGCTGGGGATAGATGTTAAAAAGAATTGGTGTATAGATTCAAACAGATAGATGGTAGTAGGATAGTGCACAGATAGATTCAAACAGATAGATAGTAGTACGATAGTGCACAGACGGATTCAAACAGATAAGTAGTAGTAGGATAGTGCACAGATAGATTTAAACAGATATGTAGTAGTAGGATAATGAACAGACAGATTTAAACAGATATATAGTAGTAGGATAGTGCACAGATAGATTTAAACAGATATGTAGTACTAGGATAGTAAACAGATAGATTTAAACAGATATGTTGTCGTAGGATAGTGCACAGATAGATAGTTGTAGGATAGTACACAGATAGATTTAAACTGATAGATAGTTGTAGGATAGTGAACAGATAGATTTAAACAGATATGTAGTAGTAGGATAGTGCACAGATAGATTTAAACAGATAGATAGTTGTAGGATAGTACACAGACAGATTCAAACAGATAGATAGTAGTAGGGTAGTGCACAGACAGATTTAAACAGACATGTAGTAGTAGGATA